AAGGCTTCTCTGTGTAACAGTGTTGGCTGTCCTAGAACTCGCTATGTAGACCAGGCTGGCCTCTAACTCACAGAGATCCACCTGTATCTGACTCCATAGTGCTGGGATTAAAGGAGTGTGCCACCATGCCCAGCCCTTAATTTATTTTTTTTAAAGATTTATTTATTTGTTATATATAGTGTTCTGCCTGCATGTGTCCCTGCAGGCCAGAAGAGGGCACCAGATCTCATTGCAGATGGTTGTGAGCCACCATGTGGTTGCTGGGAATTGAACTTAGAACCTCTGGAAGAGTAGCTAGTACCCTTAACTGCTGAGCCATCTCTCCAGTACCTCCCCCCACTTTTTTTTTTTTTTTTTGATACAGGGTTTCTCCGTGTAGTTTTGGTGCCTGTCCTGGATCTCGCTCTGTAAACCAGGCTGGCCTTGAACTCACAGATATCCGACTGGCTCTGCCTCCTGAGAGGCAGGGTTAAAGGCTGGGGTTAAAGGCATGCGCCACAGCAGCCCCAGCCCTTAAATTTTTGACACTTAATCTTTATGCATGTTGTTCACAAGCACACACACACTCCCGAGCCACCTCTCCAGTGCTCTACCTTACTTGAGACAGGATCTCTCACGGGAACTCATGAATTCAGATAGAGTGGCTAGCCAACAAGCTCCAGGCATCTACCTTCCCATTTGTGTTGGGGGTTACAGATGCACACTACTGAACCTGGCTTTTCTGTAGGTGCTGGGGATCCAAACTCAGGTCCTCCTCACACTTGCACAGTAGCACTTTATCAACTGAGCCATCTCCTAAGCCCCAATTGGACTTAATTTCCTATTCCTATTTTTATTTAACTTTCCAGGGGGAGCAGTGGTACTGAACAAACTACTGAGCTCCCAAAAACAGACAGTAGACAAGACCCAGAAAGACTAGTCTTGAAAAGGAACATTATGCTAACCTTTTCACTGGGTTCAATCTCCAGAGGCTTACTTAATTTTTTGGAAGCTTTTGGAGAGCTGCATATTACTAACTCTATTCTCATGCATTACATTTTGGGAGAGAAAATTATCCATTAGTAAAAATAAGGAAACCATGAATGTTTAGTAGAAAGGAAAATGAATGAGCTGAGAGCCACATGAAGTCAACTGCACATAAACTAAATTAGCACCTATGTGGGGTAGTTAGAAAATAACCATGTTTGGCTGGGTTGTGGCTCAGTAGTGCATAAATGACCTACCATGTACTGAGCCAAACCAGACCAAAGAAGAGCCCTGACCCCAGCTGCTCTCATATTATGCTACACTGCATTTCAGAGCATCTAAGAATGCTTACTTAAAGTCTCCTTTATAAGCAAACCTCTTCTGACTATAGTAAGGCCGTGTCTTGAGACCTTTAAAACCCTCAGGAATTACAAATATCAACCAGGTAATAACAAGAGTAGAAACCCAGCTCCTTCACTACTATTCTAAGAACATAAAACCATAATTACTGCCGGGTGGTGGGGCACGCCTTTAATCCCAGCATTGGAGAGGCAGAGGCAGGCAGATCTCTGTGAGTTCGAGGCCAGCCTGGGCTATAGAGTGAGTTCCAAAGCAGGCTCCAAAGTTACACAGAGAAACCCTGTCTTGAAAAACCAAACTGCTCCCCACCAAAAAATAACAAAATAAAAAACCATAATTACTTTGTTCTATAAGTACTGTTACTTATTAGATTCATATTAATAGTGATTAATAATACATATTATAAAATACTCCAAATTAAAGAAAGAGGACTTGAGCTGGGTGTGGTGCTGCACACCTGAATTCTAGTGACTGGGAGGTTGGAACAGGAGGGTCATGACTGTCTCAATCAACAATGCCAACCAATACAATAAGAGGATTTGGTATATTCAAGGACAAAAAGCTGAGAAGTTAACAGTGTTAAATTCCAAAATGGGGTTCATATAACCACTGCAAGAACAAAAGTGTAGAGAGGAAAATGTTTCAAGATGCAGTTACACGAGAGCAGTCCAAAGAGGACTCT